ACGTTGAGTTTGGGTCGGACATATGTCCGATGACCTTCAGTTCAGTTTTTACTCGGAAATAAGTCTGAATGACACGAATGAATATCAGCACAATGTATTAATTCTAAACGATAAATGTTGTGAAGATATTAAATAATTTGTGTCATTCATACTTATTTCCAAGCCAAAATTAACTTGCTTGCTAGAACAGCAGTGAGACTTCGACAACTTAAGCCCCGTTTCCCACTTCACCATTTCGCTAGCACGTCGCCGCCCCGCGCTCGATCAGCCTACGTTAAAACAACATTTCCATGCAGTTTACTTTTTATACAATACTCAATTGTCCCGCATTTACCATACGAGCCTTACTGCGGATTGATTTACGTTGGACAAAGCTACAGTTCGGTCGGACACCAATACACTCGGGTCGGGCAAACAGTAAACCCCAGTTTCACTTATGTCGGACAGAATGTCCGGTGGCTTCCTCTCTATACGTCGGACAATTTCACGAATGGGTCAGACAATGTCTGTGACCGACCGATATTTTAAGGCCTGATATTTCTATATGTGAAATTGTTATTAAATTCTACATGTCCAATGATTCATTCAAATACTATTGTTTATATATAATATGATTTTGTACAGTATTCAGTGAAATTCAGTGGCAAGCTAGCTACCATGGCAACTGGCCATGCCAACAAACCTGCATCTATTTGAATAATTCAAATCATTAAAAATTCGCATAGCATGACTCGTTTGCTTTGGCTAGCTTCACCACTGGCAGTGTTATAATTATACATACAAAAGCAAGAAGTTATAAGTGTTGAAGGTATTCATATAAAACTGCCCATGCCAAGAAAGTAGAATTAGAATATTTAGCTGACCTTTGACCTTGTGCAAGGTGTTTGATATTCAGATTGCACTTTTCCTATCTCCTGATTCCTAAACAGGTGTCTTAGGGCTGTTTACATGGTGGGATAATCTTTTATGTATTTGAATAAGTCACTAAGCTAAGCAAAAGTTTAAATGCTTGTTAACAGAACCCAAATATTGTAGAGAAGATCTCGTAGTTCAAGAAGATTATTATTGTTGCTTGAACAACCTTTCGTTTACAGTTAATTATAATCTATCTCTAGAAAATGTTTTTTGCTGAATTGTGCACTGTGATTCATTTCAATGCATCGAAATAACCCCCCGCTTTCTCGTCCTGGCAAAGCTGGATCTTAATATAAACAGTCCCTTATTCAGCAAATTGCGCATGGTGCCATCCCTTGGGGGTGAGGCAGCAATTTCCTTGCGATAGTAACTTCTAGTATATTACCTTCATAGACCAACGTAGATCCAGTATTTGGACAGGTCTTTTTCCCCCACCGGGTATAAATCACTCCAACTATTCCAGATTCACCTTGTATTCCCTTGCGACCTTCAGGCCCTGCTGGTCCAGTTTTACCTGGAACTCCTTGCTGACCTATCAGAATGGAAAAATGGGAATAAGGAGCACACCAGAATGGTTTGATTTTTCGACTTTTGCCTTGCCAACGCTTCATTTTCAATATCTAATTGTCTTTATCCGAAGACATGTCAAAGCCATTCGAAATTAATGGCAAAATAATTAAGAAATGGTAGCCAAAAATAAGAAAACCAAGTTATCTTTTGCTTCCGGTGATACGATGCTGTCGCTATCTTGCTCTGTGTATATAACCTGCGATCATGCTCCATTTTTCAAATTGAACCTGACCAGTGTCATGCTGGCTACTGTTCGTCAGGAGAGGCCACCTCAAAATTAGGAGCCCATCATTATATATTTCACGAACCTATATATGTCGACGGGGGGGAATGGGGGTGGGGCAAACATTTTGAAGACATCCTTTAAAGACATCCTTTGAAGACTTTAATTTTGGTTTCATTTCAGCAGATTCGGCCCTCCTGAAATGCTTTTGTGCCCCCTAAAATCCCTCGCAGGGGCCATGGACCCCTGCCCCCTCCCCCCCCAAAAAAAAAATGTGTCCCAGGGAAAATGTCAATTTCATATAAAAACAACAATCTAATTATGGTTAAGAGGAGAATCTTTTGTATGTTACGTAACACGCGCTCAAAACTAGCTAATGCATGAATGTACTTTTCCACTTGGTTCTGGCTATATTCAATTTCTTTAATTTTTGATGTGTTTCACAAGCGGCAAGAGATTTTGATGGTACGCGAAAAAGAAAATTCAATACGTTTTGCTTATATTGCTCTATAGATATGGCGTGAAACAATTGCAAAATGAACACATTAAGTGATACGGAAAAATAATTGCTGTTCTTGTATATTTAGCTATTCCATAAATAGCATCCAAAGATATTTCAACGTATGAAAAACGCTGGACTGAAAACAGGCTTAAATCTCGTTTCCATTTTGATTCGAATGTTGAATATTCAAGATGATTTTATTCTTCGGATTTGCTTCTTGGATTTTTTCCAATTGGCGTCTCCTATTTAGTAGCAGGTAAATAGGAATCTTTCGAAATTAGAAACATTGGAAATGCGGCCTCCGCAACATAAATTACCTCGGGCTCCCTGTGATCCATCCCTTCCATCTCGGCCATCTCTTCCTGGACTTCCTGGAGTACCTGCTGTTGCTGGAGGTCCTCGAAGAAGGAATGCCGGTTGACGACCAGCATATTGATACGACTGGTTCAGTCTAAACATAAGAAATCATAAATGATTGTAAAACTACAGTTTGGCTTGATTGTGGCAATGATATAGGCATAGGTTACATAATTTTTTGTGGTATAGATTTATAATTTTAAACCTCAGATTAAGTCCAAATTGAAACAATGTTCTCCAAACATATTATCAAGATATATGCATATACATAATTTACGGTGCTCTTTAGGGGGTATTTTAATATAATACATAATTTGGGCTTGATCAGATACAGTATGAATAGCTGAAAATTCAGCCTGGCTATTGCCGTGTTCATAGCATATACATGAATTGCAGATGAACCGTAAAGCCTGGTTTCCATATGGTCGTAAAGGTCATAAATATTGAGTCACGATGTTTCTCATCAGCCGAAATACAACACTAAAGAACTGAAATTACGCGGAGTGATTATAACTAGAGAATATATAATTATGATTTATATGTGGTTTTCAGGTATAAACTATTAACCGTTGAGAAAGATCGTGACTCTATTTTTAGGACCATTACGGCCATGCATATGGAAACTAGGCTTAAGAAATGGTAAAATTCAACATTTTTGAAATGTACAGTGTTGAATTAATTAGGGTTACTTAAGCCAGTTGCCATATACCAAGCTCTGTATTCATGCTTATAATCAAATCGTTCCTTTTACTTAAATTAGCTAGCAATGCTATAGTAATTCGGAATAAATTTGAATACTTTGATATGCATATTTTAATTTTTCCAGTCCCAGCTACATGTATATTTCAACTGCAAATTATCCCGACGCAGAACACGTCATTTGCACGGATGCGCAGTGAAAACTCCGAATTGGCTTATTCATTTTAACATGAGTTGATATTTATATTGGTCGCTGCTTGAGATTATATAACTGATCAGTTGTGCTGAGTGGTTATATTACTACCTTAAAAAATAAACAGAAACTTGACGTTTCGAGCGAAGACAGTTTTAGTATAACTGATCAGTTGCGTGTGTTATGCCACTCACAATCTTTATAGTAACCAATATTAAGTCCGAGAGACTCAGACAATCTAAAATCATGAGAATGTCCAACTGGCAAATTTCGCGACCATAAGCTCCCAACCAGTACAATAATTTAAAAATATGAAATATACGAGGTATGGCGCCATTTTCTAATGCTACCGTAACGCTTTCCAACTATATAGGGCAAAAAAAAGAGAAAACTATCTTCCTTCCTTCCAGCTTTTCTAGTTTAATCAATGCCTTAATAATTCTTGATATCGGTTTCCTCTGTTCCCCGTTTACTTCGTCTTGTGCCTTGCTCGTGTCTCTCCCTTTTCAAAGACTTAAAGTCCAAAGTCTTTTCTTCTTCCAAAGCGTTAAACTTGTTGTTTAGAGCTTTCAATGATGCTCAATTCGCTCTGTTTGCAAAGTGCTTCGCAACGACAACTACACTTAAACAAGCAAAAGTACCTTCATGACAAAGGATGAACGATGCATGCTTGTTTCAGCATCTTTGCCGTTCTTTTCCATCGTTTTGGCAATCAAAATTGTTTTTATTTTCTCTCAATTTTCGACAACCTTCCGCTTCAATTCAACAGTGTAAAATGACCAGAAAACAATACGTTTCTATTACATATTGCTCATAATTTGAATAAAACCAGGCAGTGTGGCTTAACACGTAAAAACGAGAATAAAAGCTGTACAATCGAATCTGCATACATGCATGGACAAAAGGTTGAGTAAAATTCGAAGCATTTTCATTATTTTAATGGCCTTTGCCATGTATTTATCCTCTGAAAATGATTTCATGTTTTGTAAAACTGAACAGGAGTAACCATTGTTTCAGCTGGACTTAATTCTACTAGATATCTACCGGCTTTAAATTGTTTGATTGTAAATTCAGTTGTTTCGCTAGATGGGATTGAACAAAGAAACTCGTTGTTTACGAGTTCAAAGATTAACAACAGGAACCTCAAGGAAGCAAGCGACATATATATTTGGCAACATACTGTCTCCCGTATTTTTTCGTGCTACCAATCAGGTTAATTATTTTCCGAATGCCATGTCAAGGTCGAAAGTATTTGGTAGTTAGTTGTATTTAAATAAATATTTCGAAACTATTTGGTCGTTAGTTGTATTTCAATAAATGCATTTTGAAAGAAACCGTCAAATGTCAGAATTAGATGAACAATGTTGTATTAGTTATAGATTATCTAATGCAACATTGTTCATGTTTTTTGTTCATGTTTCAATACTTCAAGTCCGACTATGAGAACTGGACTAGATTTTTCAAGTTCGCTCAATTTGATCAAGTTCGAGGCGAAGCCGAGGACTGGGTCAAAATGTGTGGACTTGAAATCTAGTCAAGTCCGAATTCGAGGATTCGAAATGACATCTCATACGAATAAATCACTGCTTAAAGTAAGGTGAATTATGATCCAGTCCAAGGACTGGATTAATTTTGATCCAGTCCTTGGTATAGACAGTTTTGAATAAATTAGAGTTACTTAAACTCCAGTTACCATACCAAGCTCAGTAGTCATGGTGAAGATTGTCATAATAATCGGTTCCTTTTACCTTCTAAATATTTCATTTAAATTAGCTAGCAATGTTGATATTGCGGAATATATCTATATAGATATGATATTGATAATAAAATTGGAGTTTAGCTTCCTGTATAGCAGTTGTTTGAAAATATACTGTGAAATTAAAAAGATACCAAATTTAAAGTTCGTTTTCACAAACGCATGCATTATGTGTGAAACAGGGTCTGATTGTGTTTGCTTGATTATTGACAGAGAGGTTGTTCTTCATTGCCTATATATATATATATATATATATATATATATATATATTATATCATTATATATTATATCATTATATATAAGCGCCCTGCATGGATTATATTATAGATGACCAATTGCGAACTTTATGCACATTAAGGCTTAACACCAAAGCACATTTCAGAGAGATATTGACTCAAACAACCTAGACAATCTTTGATGGAATGACCACAAACTAAAGCCCGTTTTGGACGTCGAATTTCCATCGAATTTAATTCGTTCAATTTAATGCTTCTGACTATTCCACGATCACGGAATTTTGAAGTCGATTTCTGTCAATTACGCGACAAAGCCCGACCATAAAAGATGGTTTGAATAAACTTTATACTATTACTGGAATCAAACTAAGCTACATCAACTTTGAAATGTCATTTTGGATGTTTATCAAAGCCGTGATAAGAGCTTTACATGGCCAGAAATTATGGACATGATTATTCTACTTCCTTACTAATTTGAATAGCATCGATGCATAACCCGTTGAAATATGGCTGCATGCTGCATATAAACAGTAAATTATATTACGGGATGCTGTAAATTGCAAAATCTGAGAATACGGTGGCATGGAGTGTATCTAAAAGTCGAGAGTAAAAAGTCGAGAGTCGAGAGTAAAAAGTCGAGAGTCTGCACCAAAAGTCGCGAGTCAACAGAAATGTAATCAGAAACAACAAAGTCAAAATATTTTTAACACAATATATATAGCCGTTCTGTAACAACGGCTGAACTACAAACTTTTGCATAAATATAACTACAATAGTCAATAATGCAATAATATATAAACGTGAACAAAAAAGACTGGATACGAAACTAATATCACATGTGATGCTTTCGTCTTACTAACTTTTTTAACATGTCATTTCATCAAATTCATTTGTAGCAATTTGCTGCCTTCAATGTAGACACACAAGCGGAGTTTTGACAGCCAGCTCCGGGCCGCTTTAACCTTGCTTGCAACTACCGTCGCTTGCAACTAAGGATGATGATCGCAGATAACACATTGTCTATTCTCATGACAAAGTTCAATGTTTTTACCGAGAAACTTCAATGTTTGTGATATTAATCATTTGATGGTTTCAATGCCGGATGATTCCAGCTATAGACTAATTTTGATCTAGGCAAGACA